GTGTCCCCTGCCCTGCCACTTACTGAAGGTCTTGAGCCAAAGGCCGCCTCACAGTATCACAGTACGCTAGAGATTGGAAGGGACCTCGAAAGATCATCTAGTCCAATCCCCCTGCCGGAGCAGGAACACCTAGATAATGTTACACAGGAATGTGTCCAGGCGGGTTTTGAATGTCTCCAGGGAAGGAGACTCCACAACCTCCCTGGGCAGCCTGTTCCAGTGTTCCGTCACCCTCACTGAGAAGAAGTTTCTTCTCAAGTTTAAGTGGAACCTCTTGTGTTCCAGTTTGTACCCGTTACCCCTTGTCCTATCATTGTTTGCCACTGAGTAGAGCCTGGCTCCATCCTCGTGACACTCCCCCTTTATATATTTATAGACACTTATAAGGTCACCCCTCAGTCTCCTCCAAACTATAGAGACCCAGCTCCCTCAGTCTTTCCTCATAAGGGAGATGCTCCACTCCCTTAATCATCTTTGTTGCCCTGCGCTGGACTCTCTCCAGCAGCTCCCTGTCCTTCTTGAACTGAACTTTGCAGAAGAAGCTGGGGCTCTCCTAAAGTTAATGAGGGTATAATGATGCTATCCCGTGCCATGCCACATGGCTGGGCGATGGGGCAAGGGCAGCGGGGTCCTTATATGCAGGGTTTGGGGAGGTGAGTGAGAGTTGGGGTGCAGGGGCACCCTGGCTGTCCTGTGCCCTTGTGGGGCGACAGGACTTGGGGCTCTTTCCTCCCGCTCCCCACCCTTCCGACTGCACCCGCCCCAGGGCGCTGTCCCCTCATCCTCTGAGGCTGTGATGCTCGCAGGGGCCCAGCGCCCCTCTCGGGTGCTGTGTGTGGCGCTCTGTGTCCTGCCGCGCTGGCCATGGGCCGCCCGCCGCTCCCCGGAGCCCCTTCCTCACCTTCCCCCGGCGCTCCTCAGCCGCGGCCGGCGCTGGCTCCGGGCGCTAGGACCCGGGGGGGGCGGAGCCTCGCCCAGCCTCAGCCGAGCCCCGTGGAGCCCCGCCCCTCGCAGGGGGCCTCCGAGCCGCATGGGGGCGCTGTGAGTTCCCGGCGGCCCCGTGCGCTCCCGTCAGCCTTCGCTCTCTTTCCGCGGCCGCCGCCGACATGGTGAGTGCGGGCCGGGAGCGCCGCCATCCGCCGCCATCCGCGGCGCCGAGGGGCTGCAGGGAGCGGGGATGGGCCCCGGGAGGGAGCGCAGGGCCGGGGCGTTGCTGAGGGGCTGCGGGCCGGGGGGAGCCGCGGGGTCCGGCGGCGCCTGAGCGGTGTTTCCTTCCCCCCCCCCCCCCCCGCCGCCCAGGGACGCGTCCGGACGAAGACGGTGAAGAAGGCGGCGCGGGTGATCATCGAGAAGTACTACACGCGGCTGGGGAACGACTTCCACACCAACAAGCGCGTGTGCGAGGAGATCGCCATCATCCCCAGCAAGAAGCTGCGCAACAAGATCGCGGGGTGAGGCGGGGCGGGCGCACCGGGCACCTGCATCGAAAGTGACCGCGGCCTCCCCGTGGCCCGGCCATCGATAGTGCAGGGAGAGCAACGGCGGCGGCTCCCCCGTGTCTGCGGGGCCGCGTCCCCGCGGGCCCTGTTGCTGCCGGACACTGCCCTGCCCCTCACTGCCCTCCGCTGGGGGGGTTTGGGAGCGTCGGGGGCGAGCACAGCGCAGCCCTGCCCTGCCCGGGGTTTGGGAGCGTGATGTCCCGTGTGTGCCCCGCAGGTATGTCACCCACCTCATGAAGCGCATCCAGAGGGGACCCGTCCGGGGCATCTCCATCAAACTGCAGGAGGAGGAGAGGGAGAGGAGGGACAACTACGTCCCCGAGGTGAGGCTCCGGCTGTCTCGTCACCCCACCCTGAGGGGTCCCTGTCAGCGGCCCCAGGTTGCTCTGAAACGCAGCTCCGGCTGGGATGGGCTGAGGAGGGTTGGGGTCAGGAGGGGCCGAGGCGGATCCTGGCCTCGTGTCTGGTGCTTCCTCCAGAGCTGCTGCCCGGGCTGCGGAGGGCAGTGACGTTCCTGCGTTGTGGCTCTTGTCGCTGGTCAGCAAGTGATGATCAGCAAGCGGTCCTCAGCTTTACTAACTTAACATAAGGGAAAAAATCACTTGTGGGGATGTGGGAGGATGTGTCAGAGTGTCTTAAACCTGCTACAGCAGATGCGGTTGCAAAGAGGGAATGGGTGAAACCTGCACTCACGAGGGGTCAGGATCTGCCCGTGGGCCTGTTGCTGATGGTGCTGGGAGAGGAGCTCCAAAAGTGTTTCCCTGTTCAATGGGTTCAGTCCCATTGCACCCAAACCCTTCAGCCATGGCACGGAGCCCCTCTTCCAGCTCTTCCTGATCAGCTTCCAGTGGAGCTGCTGGGTTCTGTGCTGCCCCAAACGCTCAGTCCTGTCACCTCGGTGCTCCCAAACTGCCACTGCTGGGGACTGCTTATGTGAAGGTTGTTTTCAGTGAGGGTCTGAGAGGAAGATGGATGAAGGTGGGGTGTCACGGCAGTGTGGTGCTGCCTCCCCCTTGCAGATCTGCTCCAGGGGCAGGCGACACCGCTCCACAAGAGACTGGGGCCTGGTTGACTCCCAGTGGCTATAAACAGTGTGTGGAACGCTGGCAGCACCTGCACATCCCCTCCCAGCTGCTCCAGCACCTCCGGTTTTAGGTGTCAGCGCAGTGCTGAGCTGCCCGGCTGCTGGCGGGGTCTGGAGGTCCAGCTGAGGGCAGTGTTTTACACAGAGACCTTCCAGCTAAGTGTGGGAGGCAGGACAGGATGGTGCTGGTGGGAGAGGCCTCGGCTGGCGGGACCCCAGGCAGGGTCCATGCTATGGCTGGTGATGCAGCTGAACCTGAGTTGTTTGTGGTTTCTTAGGAAAACAGTGGTGTGATGCAGCCTTTTGGGGAAGGAAGCGTGTGGAGAGGGGTGAAGGGGGTTACAGGAGATAGCTCAGGGATTAAAGAGCAGGAGACCTCAGGTCCTTGGGGTGGGACAGCCGCGGTGGTCACTCGCTGTAGCTGTTTGGCACTGCCGGGGTCCGGCTCCAGCCCAGCTTTGTGTCACAGGACGAGTGCAAGTGTCAGTGGTGACCACCAGGACCGGTGCAGTTGTGGCCCTGACTCTGGCTCCACAGCGTTGGTGTGGAGCCGGCTGGGCCTTGGCCTGCCAAAGAAGAGCTGTAAAAGAGGCTCTTCCCCTGCGCCTGGAGCTCTGCTGCTGGGTGGCCTCTCGGTGTTTTGGCAGGAGAGCTGGACTACATGGGCTCCTTCTGGCTCCTGCTGTTGCTGGAGCCCTTCCCCATGACAGGCAGTGAGATCTTTGTTGTGGTGGGACAAGGATCAGGGTGGGCGTGTGGGGACATCCTGGTGGCAACAGGGACGTGGCTGTGGGGCCTCATCACACTGCATCTATGTCTCCTCTGTCCCCAGGTCTCTGCCCTCGACCAGGAGATCATCGAAGTGGACCCAGACACCAAGGAAATGCTGAAGCTCCTGGTGAGTGGTTCCCCTGCCCTGGGACGAGCAGGCAGGCAGGGGGTGGGATGGTGGCTTTTCCAGGCCCCTGCCAGCAGGGGTGGGTGTGCTCCTTCCCTTCGCTCCTCCCACAGCACCCCATGGTGCTGACCCAATGGCCTCCTCCTCAGCTCTTGCTGGGTGAAGGTGAGCATGGGTGAAACGACCAGCTGATTTCCAGGGTGCCGGTGGTCACCTCCCCTTCTTGTGGAGACAGGAATCCACCCTTTGTGCTCCCACAGCACATTCACGCTGTGCTCTTGCTGGTGGGGTTGGACGCGGATGGAGACAGGGCCGTGTCACTGATCCCAGTCCCTGTTTTCCAGGACTTTGGCAGCCTGTCCAACCTGCAGGTGACGCAGCCCACAGTGGGGATGAACTTCAAAACGCCCCGAGGAGCGCTCTGAGTCGGTCGCTGTGTGCCACTTTTCCAATAAACATGGGAAAACCACCCTGCCCGGTCTCTGGAAGCCTGCGTTCCCCGGGATGCGGAGGGAGGGCTGGTTCCTCAGGATGCCATGTCTCTAATATGGGTGTCTGGGTGAGCAGGACTCAACACCTCTGTGTTTGCCAGCACCTTTTTGGGTTCTTTCTTGGCTGTTTGAGGTGCAGAGTTGTTCTTTCACAGGCTCTCCTGCTCTTGGGAGAGGACAACCCTGGTGGCTCCTCAAGAGCTTCCCAGAGCTCCTCACCCTCAGTGCCCCAGGGTTTGTCTGTGCCGCCTCGGAACAGACACGGTGTTGTGTTGTGCTGTGCCGGAATTGCTTTTCACAATTCACAAACCATGCTGTGTGCTTTTAAGTGCTTAAATGAAAGGAAAAAAGTCTCATGGGATCTTTGTGAGGGGAGTGAACTGGGCTGAACAGAGCACTGTGGCCAGGGCGGCAGCTCCCCTGTGTGGGCCCTGCTGAGGCTTGTGCTGTCCTTCCCTTGGTAAGATGCTCCATTCCAACAGTCCCCTAGTGTACAAAAGGCATGGAAGAGTTTGGGGTTTCACTGACATACACACACACACCAAATTACCACTTTGCAGAGACTTTGCGTTTGGAGACCTACAGGTCTCTAGCACCAGGACTGTGGGCAGGGTGGGCGCAACATGGGAAGCTACTGTTGTAGTGAAGGTGTGTTTGCAGCCATGTCTTACCCCCGAGTACATATAAAAAGACAAAGGGGCTGTGTTTGGGGGAGAAATGTCTGTATTTAAGTTTGCTGTGAAATCTGTCTTAAACAGTTAAAGAGAAGAACCTGCTGCCAGTAACTGAAGCCGGGTATTGACACACCCTGAGCATGCGGGGCTGCAGGCAGGGTAAGGCAGGCAGGATAACTGATAAAACCTCCTGCCTGCTGTGGAGGATTTGCAGTTGGACAGTTCAGAACCACCAGACACAGAACAGACTGACAGGTGAAATAACCACAGGAGGGAGTGAGCAAGGAAGGAGGCATCCCTGCAGTTTAACCATGGGAATGACATTCCAAACACAACTGGTACCTCTGGCAGCTCTTAACTGGAGTTCTTGACATGAACAGCCACCTGTGACTTACACTTCCTCTTCATTTGGGTCTTGATCTTTTGTTTAACCCAATATGCCTCGTAGCCCGAGGTGCCAGGAATGAAATCATGGAGCTCCCCAACGTACTTCTTCATGTCCCGAGCGGAGGCGTAGCCTGCAAAGGGAACTCTTTGGAGGAGGTACTGCTGGAGAGGAAGTACTGGGAGAGCCATCCCCCTCCCCAAGGAAACGGGAAGGGAGTGGAGCTACCTGCACCCTCAGCAGTTCCGCTGCTGTCAGTACTGGCAACACCAGGGTCCCTGCTTCATCCGCAACCATTTTCAGGGATATTCCCAGTTTTCAGGGGTATTTCTAGTGTGAGGCTCTCTGGCCATGGCAGGGGGTTGGAGCTGGATAGTCTTAAGGTCCTTTCCAACCCAAACCAATCCCTGATTCTGTGATACTTTTCCCCCCAACCACGGAACATTACCTGTCACCATGTTATTTGTTGGGTACTTATGCAGGACACAGTGTGGACATTCCCCTTCAGGTGCTGTGGGGTCTGTTTCTTCTTCACTGCTGTATCAAAGGGGAAAAAAATCTGGTGTGTTCTTTGTGGCTCTCTAGATTTCGGGGAGGGGGCCCCAAATCCAACTACTGAGGGCAGGAAAATACCTTTGCATCAGGTCTAGCACATGCTCCTCCTCCTCCTCCTCCCCGCCTGTTCCCGCTGCCTCGGGTCTGTCCGTCAGATTCCTGTTGCGCTGCGAGCATCGACACCGAATGGAGTTAAAGCTGTGCCGGGATGGGGCACAGCAGCAGCCCCACAGGCCCCGCACAGGGGGGTTAGGACTCGTGGTCTCATAATGTGGAATAGTTTAAAACTAAACACATTTTTGCTTCAAAAGAACTGAGGAGCTGCTTTGAGAGACAGTGGCAGCGCCTCGGAGCTACACAGGGACGGGAAATGCCACACGAAGGGCTGAGCTCAGACCTCTGCCATCAGCATTCCCAGAAAGATGTGTTGGACAGCTCTGGATGAAGGAGGAAACCCTCCTGCACATCCCACACTCTCTTAGTGCTGTCCCCTGGGATGTCACGTTGGGACGGACACACTTGCCGCAGCAAGCGCAGGATATGATCCCATGTTTCGGCTGAGGGGCTGGGTGAAAACCAGGCTCTCTGAAGCTCATACACCCACTGGTTTATTTAAGCTACACCCTTAGCAGCATTTTCTCATCTTACCCGTGAATCGTCCGCCTGCTCCCAGATAAAACAACCGATCTGCCTTCTGATTTCTGCCATGAACGAAAAGATAAATGACAGTGAGAGCATCAGTGAGGACGCGGAGGCGGCTGCTGCCTGTGCAAGCCCCGGCCCCTCGCAGGCACGGGCAAAGGCACTCAGGAGCCCAGGCAGGAGCTCGCTGCACAGCGCCGCAACAGAACAGCTCCATGTCTGTGTGGGGAGCAGTGAAGAGTGGTGTCCCTCAGGGAGCCGTACTGGGACCAGTCAGTGACAGGGGCAGTAAGACTGAGCACCCCCAGCACGTTTGCTGATGGCACCAAGCTGTGTGATGCAGTTGACGTGCTGGAGAAAAGGGATGGGACTTGGACAGGCTGGAGAGGTGGGACCATGTGAACCTCATGGAGTTCAATCAGGCCAAGTGCAAGGTCCTGCCCCTGGGTCAGGGCAATCCCAAACACAAGCACAGGCTGGGGGAGACTGGATGGAGCAGCCTGAGGAGATGGACTTGGGGGTGTTGGGTAATGAGAAGCACACCATGACCCAGCTTCAGTGTGTGCTTGAGCCCAGAACCACCCCCACCCATGTGCTGGGCTGCACCCCCAGAGCATGAGCAGCAGCTCAGGGAGGGGATCCTGCCCCTCTGCTGTGCTCTGGGGAGACCCCCCCTGCAGCCCTGATCCAGCTCTGGGGCAGCAGCACAAGAGGGACGTGGAGCTGTTGGAGAGAGGCCAGAGGAGGCCATGGAGATGCTGCGAGGGCTGGAGCAGCTCTGCTCTGGAGCCAGGCTGAGAGAGCTGGGCTGGGGCAGCCTGGACAAGAGAAGGCTCCTGAAGGGGAGACCCGAAAGCAGCTCCAGTGCCTAAAGGGGCTGCAGGAAAGCTGGAGAGAGGCTTGGGACAAGGGCCTGTAACGACAGGCCAAGGGGAATGGCTTTAAGCTGCCCGAAGGGAGACTGAGATGAGCTCTTAGGCAGAAGCTCTTCCCTGTGAGGGTGCTGAGGCGCTGGCACAGGGTGCCCAGAGAAGCTGTGGCTGCCCCATCCCTGGCAGTGTTCAATGCCAGGTTGGACACAGGGGCTTGGAGCAAGGTGCTCTAGTGGAAGGTGACCCTGCCCGTGGCAGGGGTTGGGACTGGATGAGCTTTAAGGTCCCTTCAACCCAAACCAGTCTGGGATTCTATGATTAACAGACTGAGTGTCCTCTGCCTCTGTGGAGGAACAGTCACTCCCAGCAGAAGGAAATTCCCATCTACAGAAGTAACTGGAGTTTCTGTTTTACACCACCAAAAGATTGTGCTTATGGGGGAACCCCCAGGGGAGCAAAACCCTGATGGTTCCCTCCCCGCAACCTTCTTGCAGGCAAGCGGGTGGCAGGACAAAGTGGCCCAGAGCCACTGACGTCTTCTCTTCCGCACTGGTGTTGGCCCATGCAGAGAGGTAAGAGGAGTGGAAGACCGTGGCTCTGCCCTCCAAGTAATTGAGGCTCTCATGTATTCTGGAAGAGAAAAAGACAGCTGGTTTCCAAAGGGAAACCTGGCACAAAACCCAAAAGCACACCTAGAACCCCCAAAAGTTTAAGGGGAACCTTGTCATTACAACTGACAACAGCACCTCATGTTCTGTAAGTTTCTAACTCAGAGACAACACGATCCTGGCTGCCGCCGCCTCATGAGAGCAGCCTGGAGGAAGGGCGTCGAGGAGCAGATAAAACCATCTTTTAATGTGGGACTCACTAGCACCGCTCTGCACTCAACATGAGGCTGGTTCTTTGGGGAGGGGGAAAACGTGGGTTTTCTTTATTCATTCTTGACTCTGCTGCAGTCCCCAAAGAGCAGCAACCAGCAGCAGTGCAGAGAGGTGAGGGTGGAGGATGCTTAAGCACTCACTGTCCTCCTTAGAGCTGAATTAAATGCTGTTTGCTGGTTTTAAGGGTATGGATAATGATACACTTTTTTTTCCAAGAAATAATCATAGAATCATAGAATAGTTAGGGTTGGAAAGCACCTTAAGATCATCCAGTTCCAACCCCCTGCCATGGGCAGGGACACCTCACACTGAACCATGTCACCCAAGGCTCTGTCCAACCTGGCCTTGAACACTACCAGGGATGGAGCATTCACAACTTCCCTGGGCAACCCATTCCAGTGCCTCACCATCCTCACAGTAAAGAACTTCTTCCTTATATCCAATCTAAACTTCCCCTTTAAGTTTGAACCCCTTACCCCTTGCCCTATCACTACAGTCCCTAATGAAGAGTCCCTCTCCAGCATCCCTATAGTCCCCCTTCAGACACTGGAAGCTGCTCTGAGGTCTCCACGCAGCTTCTCTTCTCCAGGCTCAACAGCCCCAACTTTCTCAGCCTGTCTTCATACAGGAGGTGCTCCAGCCCCTGAGCATCCTCGTGGCCTCCTCTGGACTTGTTCCAACAGTTCCATGTCCTTTTTATGTTGAGGACACCAGAACTGCACACAATGCTCCAGGTGAGGTCTCACGAGAGCAGAGTAGAGGGGCAGGATCACCTCCTTCGACCTGCTGGTCACGCTCCTTTGGATGCAGCCCAGGACACGGTTGCTTTCTGGGCTGTGAGTGCACACTGAAGCCGGCTCATGTTCATTTTCTCATCAACCAACACCCCCAAGTCCTTCTCCGCAGGGCTGCTCTGAATCTCTTCTCTGCCCAACCTGTAGCTGTGCCTGGGATTGCTCTGACCCAGGTGTAGGACCTTGCACTTGGCATGGTTAAACTCCATGAGGTTGGCATCAGCCCACCTCCCAAGTGTGTCCAGGTCCCTCTGGATGGCATTCCTTCCCTCCAGGGTATCGACCGAACCACACAGCTTGGTGTCGTTGGCAAACTTGCTGAGGGCGCACTCAATCCCATGTCCATGGCAGTGACAAAGATGTTGAACAAGACCAGTCCCGACACCAATCCCTGAGGGACACCACTCGTTACTGGTCTCCAGCTGGACATTGAGCCATTGATCACAACTCTTTGCGTGCGGCCATCCAGCCAGTTCTTTATCCACCGAGTGGTCCATCCATCAAATTGATGTCTCTCCAATTTAGAGACAAGGGTGTCGTGTGGGACAGTGTCGAACGCTTTGCACAAGTCCAGGTAGATGCCATCAACTGCTCTACCCCTGTCCATCAGTTCTGTAGCCCCATCGTAGAAGGCCACCACATTGGTCAGGCAGGATTTCCCCTCAGTGAAGCCCTGCTGGCTGTCACCAAGCACCTTGTTGATTTTCATGTGCCTTAGCATGCCTTCCAGGAGAATCTGCTCCAAGATTTTGCCAGGCACAGAGGTGAGACTGACTGCTCTGTAATTCCCCGGGTCATCCATTTTCCCCTTCTTGAAAATGGGGGTTGTATTTCCCTTTTTCCAGTCATGGGAACTTCACCTGACTGCCATGATTTCTCAAATATGATGGCCAGCGGCTTAGCAACTTCATTTGCCAGCTCCTTCAGGACCCTTGGATGGATTTCATCAGGTCCCATGGACTTGTGCATGTTCAGGTTCTTAAGATGGTCTCGAACCAGATCCTCTCCTACAGTGGGCCCAAGGTCTTCATTCTCACAGTCCCTGCATCTGCCTTCCAAGACTTGGGTGGTGTGGTCGGAGCATTTGCCAGTGAAGATCGAGGCAAAGCAGTCATTCAGAACCTCAGCCTTCTCCAAATCCTGTGTAGCCAGTTCTCCTGAGAGCCTCAGGAGGGGGCCTACCTTGTCCCTAGTCTGTCTTTTATTTGCTACGTACCTAAAGAATCCCTTCCTGTTATCCTTAACATCCCTAGCCAAGTTTAATTCTAACTGGGCCTTAGCTTTCCTAACCTGGTCCCTAGCTTCCTGGACAACATCCCTGTACTCTTCCCAGGCCACTTGTCCTTGCTTCCACCTTTTATAAGCCTCTTTTTTCCCTCTAAATTTCCTCAGCAGCAACTTATCCATCCAAGGAGGTCTCCTGGCCCTCCTGCTGCACTTCCTTCTAGTTGGGATGCAACACTCCTGAGCTTGTAGCAGGTGATCCTTGAATGTCAACCAACAGTCTTGGGCCCCTCTGCCCTCTAGGGCTATCTCCCATGGAACCTTACTAAGCAGGTTCTTGAAGAGGCCAAAGTCTGCTCTTTTGAAGTCCAGGGCAGTGAGCTTGCTGCACGCCCTTCTCACTGTCCTGAGGATCTCAAATTTGAGCACCTCCTGATCGCTGCATCCAAGGCTGCCCTGGAGGATCACGTTTCCAACGAGCCCTTCCCTGTTGGTGAGCACGAGGTCAAGCATGGCACCTCTTCTTCTCGGCTCCTCTGTTACTTGCAGAAGGAAGTTGTCTTCCATACAATCGAGGAACCTCCTGGATTGCTTGTGCCGGGCAGTACCGTTGTTCCAACAGATGTCAGGGTGGTTGAAGTCACCCATGAGAACAAGGGCCTGTGAGCATGAGGCTTTTCCTATCTGTAGAGTGCTTCATCCACAGAGTCCTCTCGATCAGGCGGTCTGTAACAGATCCCCACAGTAATGTCTCCCATCGCTGTTCTCCCTTTAACCCTGACCCACAAACTCTCTGTTAACTGCTCACCTGTCCCCAGACAGAGTTCCATACTCTGCAGCCTATCCCTAACATAACGGGCAACTCCCCTTCCCCACCTGCCAGGCCTCTAAAGAGCCTGTAACCTTCCATTCCAACACTCCAGTCATAGGAACCATCCCACCATGTTTCTGTGATGCCTATAAATACATTGAATATATATATATTATATATATAATGATATGTAAATTCTCCTGGTTGAACAACCCAGTCCAACAAGATGCTGTGTCAGAAGAAAGGTCTTTGCTCAGGGTTTCTTGGGATTCCCCTTCTACAGCTGGAATGGTTGGCTGAGGATTACAAAAATCTAAGACAGGTTTAAGCAATTTAAAGCAGTTAAAGGAAACTGCTTAGTCCAGCCTAGCAAAGCCTGCTGCAAAGCACTGCAAGGAAACATTGCAGGTCCCTTCCACATAAATATATTTACATGATATTGAATATATATAAAGATTCCTCAGGAACTGTAGTGATAGGACAAGGGGTGATGGGTTCAAACTGAAACAGGGGAAGTTCTTCCCTGTGAGGGTGCTGAGGCACTGGCACAGGGTGCCCAGAGAAGCTGTGGCTGCCCCATCCCTGGCAGTGTTCAAGGCCAGGTTGGACACAGGGGCTTGGAGCAAGCTGCTCTAGTGGAAGGGGTCCCTGCCCGTGGCAGGGGTTGGAGCTGGAGGAGCTTTAAGGTCCCTTCCAGTGCAAACTATCCTGGGATTCTGTGATTCACCAGCTGGAGGAAGACCCTGAGAAGCCTTTCCTTGTATTTGTACAAATGTTCTTGAGCTCTCTCGTTCTTTTATATTAAGCAAGCTGAAGGAGAACAGCAGTTCGTCTGTTTTCCAGCCACGTTTACCTCCATGCTTTGCTTTCAGAGTCAACTCTGAAGCTTTTCAGCTTCCTTCCTTTGGGGATGGTGTCACCTCTGTGTTAGACCCCAACTTTTCCAGTAGATAAACTCAAAGGTAGTGACAAAACCAGCATCATCAGTTTAATTCACTCGGCATCGTTAAACCAGCCTGATGCATGGATAGGTTTTGCTGTTGTTTTGGGGTTTCTGTAGCTCCAGTTTAGTGTGGGGGTGAGTTTTCAGACCCTATTAAGCAGCAGAATCCCACTGATGCGTACCAGGTGCTTTAAAACCACCGGCCTGGCTTTTAAAGGATCATAGAATATATATTAAACGATCAGGATCATGGAATCAATGAGGTTGGAAAGGGTCTTTAGGATCATCAAGTCCAACCGTTCCCCAGCACTGCCAAGACCACCGCTAAACCAAGGATGTCACCATCCCTTAAACACCTTGAATCCGGTGTATCCACCTCCATCGACCTGCTCCGCACGGACATCGCATGGAGAGGGTCGACGGGGCCGCAGGCATGTCCTGAGCCAGGCGGGTGCTGCTGGCAGAGGGGGGACACGGGGGTGACACGGGGGGCACACGGCTCACCTGCGGGTGTCCGGGTGCGCGGCGTCGCTGCTGAACAGGTACTCAGCATCCTGCCAGCGGGCGCAGCCCCCGCCACCGGCCGCTGCGGACAGGAGCACAGAGCAGGGAGGTGGGCACTCAACGGGGCCCAGCTCCGGTGACACGGGATGGGGACGGCAGAGCTGGGCCCCGCAGTGTGTTGTGTGCCGCCCCCCCCCCCCCCCCATGGCTCTGGGTCTCCCACTGCCCCACTGAGGACTCTTCTGCGCTTTTCCTCAGCGTGGGGGCACCGTGGTCTGAGGGGTGATCACTGAGGGGTGAAGGGACTGTGCCCCATAGCTCTGCCTGCTGAGGGGTGACGGGGCTGGGATGAGGGGTGCAGGGCTGTGCCCCATTGCTCTGCCCCACCGAGGGGTGCAGGGGCTGTGCCCCATTGCTCTGCCCCACTGAAGGGTGCAGGGGCTGTGCCCCATTGCTCTGCCCCATTGAGGGGTGCAGGGGCTGTGCCCCATTGCTCTGCCCCATTGAGGGGTGCAGGGGCTGTGCCCCATTGCTCTGCCCCATTGAGGGGTGCAGGGCTGTGCCCCATTGCTCTGCCCCACCGAGGGGTGCAGGGGCTGTGCCCCATTGCTCTGCCCCATTGAGGGGTGCAGGGCTGTGCCCCATTGCTCTGCCCCACTGAAGGGTGCAGGGGCTGTGCCCCATTGCTCTGCCCCACCGAAGGGTGCAGGGGCTGTGCCCCATTGCTCTGCCCCATTGAGGGGTGCAGGGCTGTGCCCCATTGCTCTGCCCCACCGAAGGGTGCAGGGGCTGTGCCCCATTGCTCTGCCCCATTGAGGGGTGCAGGGCTGTGCCCCATTGCTCTGCCCCACCGAGGGGTGCAGGGGCTGTGCCCCATTGCTCTGCCCCACCGAGGCTGTGTCAGCTCCATCCCCGGGCTCTCACCCCACAGCTCCCGCTGGCCGGGGCTGACGCTCCGCGAGAACCAAGCGCTGCGGCCCCGGAACATGGCGGCGGCGGGAGGAGCCCCGCGGGGCGGTGCCGGGAACCGCGGGACGGGCGCTGGAGGAAGCCCCTGGGGTCCGCCCGCCCACCCCCTCCCTCCGGTGCTGGGCGCTGGGAGCTGGAGCCCTGCGGGTTCTGACCCCTCCCGCGGGCTCCCCTTGCGCCAGCGGCTGATCCCTTCCAACCCCTGCCACAGGCAGGGACCCCTTCCACCAGAGCAGCTTGCTCCAAGCCCCTGTGTCCAACCTGGCCTTGAACACTGCCAGGGATGGGGCAGCCACAGCTTCTCTGGGCACCCTGTGCCAGCGCCTCAGCACCCTCACAGGGAAGAGCTTCTGCCTAAGAGCTCAGCTCAGTCTCCCCTCAGGCAGGTTAAAGCCATTCCCCTTGGCCTGTCCCTACATCCCTTGTCCCAAGCCCCTCTCCAGGTTTCCTGCAGCCCCTTTAGGCACTGGAGCTGCTCTCAGGTCTCCCCTTCAGGAGCCTTCTCTTGTCCAGGCTGCCCCAGCCCAGCTCTCTCAGCCTGGCTCCAGAGCAGAGCTGCTCCAGCCCTCGCAGCATCTCCATGGCCTCCTCTGGCCTCTCTCCAACAGCTCCACGTCCCTCTTGTGCTGCTGCCCCAGAGCTGGATCAGGACTGCAGGGGGGGTCTCCCCAGAGCGCAGCAGAGGGGCAGGATCCCCTCCCTGAGCTGCTGCTCACGCTCTGGGGTTCAGCCCATGCCCTCTGTATGCAGAAGGGAGGCAGCGAGTCATCTCCATGCCCAGACCCATGTCCTGCCTTGCCACAGAGCTGCCCTCCAGACCCCGTCTCCTCAGCCCCGTGCTGCAGTGGCAGGGGCCGCTGTGCCGGGCACTTCAGCACCTCCAGCCCTGGCGTCCCTGCAGGGCTCACGGGTGGGCACCGCCACGCTCTGGGCCCCTCCATGCTCTTATTTTCCACACCCAGGAGGTTCGCTCATGCACATGCACTCAAGCAAAGCTGAGCTGTGGGGCTTGGAATGTATCGAGACTGTCAGAGGCCATGGGAAGGAGGAACTACAGCAGGCCATTAAGAGCGACCCATCCCTGACTGGTACTTGGAAGATGTTGGAACTGGCAAGGAACAAGGACGTTGGAACTGGCAAGAGGATGTCAGTAAGAAAATCAGATAGAGCTTTCACCTGATGTAACCGCAAGGCAAACACAGATGTGCTTGGCTAATTGCTTGGAAGTATATAAATGTCGTGTAGTCTTTGCAATAAACGATCCAGCTTGCACTCCACCTCTGGGTCCGTGCCCCCATCCTGACAGTGAGCGTGGCCCAGAAGGCGCTGGGTGTCGCAGAGCTGAGCACAGAGCCCCTGCTCTTTGGTTCTTGCCGATTGTTAATGCAGTTTTTACACAAACTGGAGGATTATTTCTGCTTGCGCGCTCCTTCCCGTGCGCGAAGGACTTGGCAATGCTGGCAAATGGAAGGGGAAGAGGTAAGAAGAGTTAGGCCACGTCTAACTGCTCCGTGATGGTGGGAGCCCTGACTGGATGTGTCCTGGCTCTTTCACTTGGTTGCACTTCTCTTGGAGGACATCTGTGCTCAGTCGTGTGTCTTGAATGACTTTCCCCTCCTCTTGCACTCATCCCGTCAGGTTTTGTTCCTTCCACACGGGAACTGGTGAAGCATAAAACCCGGGAGACGTGGCACTGAAGAAATCGGCCTTCCAAAAAGTTCCCCTAGAAGTTGTTCTCTTTGTGCTTGGGTTACTCAGAAATAGTTTCCTTGCAGTAAAATTGGTTTTACCCCACAAAGCACAAATGAGGCTTGTTTTGTACTTCAAACCTGATCCCTCAGCAGCTCCACCCCCAGACAACGCTCACTAAAAGCCAGCAGCAGCACAGCTGCAACCCAGGTACCCCCAAGGGTGCCTGATAAAACAGCGGAGGTTTTAGCTGTGGTCCTGCAATGCCAGTGTTAATGCACGTGAGCCAGCCACTGGCTTGCCCTGCGCTGCTCTCCTGCAGAGGGGGGCATTTCTGATTAAACCATCAAAATACTTCCTAAGTAAGCCCAGAAAAACCCCACAGATGCAATCAGGGCAGAGACTTCCCTATTGGCATGATGCATCCAGTTGTTACTCCCTGGTGCTCTTGAGGGTAAAGGTGAAGCTGAGGCAGTTGTAGGCAGTTTGGTGGCTCTTCATAGAATCAGCTGGGTTGGAAAAGGCCTTTAAGACCACCAAGTCCAACCTTTACCCCAGGACTGCCAAGTCCACCACTAACCCGTGGCACTGAGGGCCTCATCTACATGGGTTTTGAACAGAGGAGGCCAGGACATGGTCCACAGCTCAGGCCACTTCAGGCTCTCACAGCAGGCAGTGCTGCTCTGCTGGGGTCTAAATCTCTTCGTCCTTCTAAGACCATCCTCTACCACAGAGGGAGCAGTGTTGGGGCTGCTGCAGTCCCTGGCCGGTGTCACAGGCTGAGCTGTGCGGTGGCTCCAGTAAGTCCTGCTGCCCTATGCTGGATGATGAGGCTTTTGCATGATCACCCAGCCAGGACATCCCCACTTCTCCTGTTTGAACCCTCCTCCAATGAGCACAAAAGGATCAGTCCCCATACACACCCCAGCAACCTCCAAATGGAACTGCAACAGTTTGGATTTTCCCAGTCTTTAATAGAATTGTGGTTATAATGGCAAAAGCTGCAAAACAAGCCTAAATCTCAAGTGCATTACAACACAGCCAAAGCAAATCTTAATATACCCAAGAAGAGACGTGCTAAATCACACCCACTGGGTTGCCAGGAATCCTTGTTCACATACATGTTCACTGATGAGATCCTCTTTGATCCAACGCTCATCCAGCAATCCTATTCATTTCTCCATAGAACAAAAGCAGTCTGATGAACATTACAAAGTAGCACCATTTTGGACTACTACCATCAAACCCCCACAGTACAAAAGACCGTCCCCAACAGGACTTCTCCATGGGGTCAACCACTCACGGAAGAGAAAACCAGAAATGAAAGTCACTGACACACACATCACCTTCCCCTCAGCTCAGCTTTACAGCACACACACTCCCAAGAGGCATCAGCTGGAGCTCTCCCCCTTGAAGTGGGCACCACATCCTGCCCATCCCTCCCTTTCCTCTCACACAGCTTTAAGACCAGACCCAGTGTCCCCAGAGTTACTTTTTCCCTTTTATCTTTGGCTTGATGCTTTCCCTTCAGAGCCACACAGGAGGCTGTGCTCAGGCAGATCCCACATAAAACTTTCATTCTTCTTTCTTTTTCAAGAGACCCTACTGAAGTCATCCAATTTTATTGAGATAAAAATCCTGTGCAACTCAGAGCACTGAAGAACTTGGACTGATTTTTAATCAGTAATACAGACTTTTATAGCTCTGTGCTCAAAAAGCAGGCCTATCGCCTATAGTGCTCTGGGTAAATGACATTATAAGCTTTATTAAAGAAAATTCTTCTGCAATGAAGCTGATGGCTAATTTTCATCAGATCCACAAGTGAGATGTGCAGAAAGGACAGAAGTTCCAAAGAGATCTGGACTTGCAAGGCGGAACTTTTCAGACCTGCATGGGGGAGGTTGACATCAGTCACTCTGTTCACACCTTCACCAAATTATTTCAGGAGAACATAAGAGCGTTTTCCACAGGGGAACTCCAACTGCAGACTCCCACTGTCCAGTTTTATTTAGCTACAGATCTAGCAGGAACTGTTTTTCCCCTCCCCCCCTTGGTGGGGGGTTCAGAGTTCAACAAGCAACCCTCTACCAAGATGATCCCTGCTCCACACCAAGCACCAGCTGCAGGGATATTCTCTCTTTATCAGCTCCCAACAACTCCACACCAGCTCAGTAAGTCCCCAGACTCTAGCCAAGTCACCAGGGTCCAACCTCCAACCAAGCCTGGCAACCTTCACCATGGGTGACCCTCAAGCTGACATCCCACTAAAGCTGCTGATCTCCTGAGCCTTTCCTCAATATCCCACAATATTTGCTTTTCTGATGTAAACTAAAAGCTTATCTTCTGTTGTCCCGACTAGAAAGATGGTCAACTCACCTTCATTTTCTCCCTGAGAGCCTGACACCCCTCCTAGCCTTTGGTGCTCTACGGCAAAGAAGGACTGGAGAGCTTTAAAAGGGGCAGCAAGAAGTAAAGGACTCTGGTCCATCTACATCTTCCCAAGAAGAAATGTCCAGGGCATTTACAAAGCTAATTTGACTCAAGATTCCATCTCAGCCTAAAAGCTCATCAGTAGCATCTTCTGGTATCAAGTTAGGGCATTTCACAGAGGTCTTGCCGAGGCTTCTCTGGGCTCTATCAGGGTACACAACTAGGGCGTTCCAGCCAGCATTGCAGCCACGTCAGCCAGGCAACAAAGCTTTAGTTTCTCTTTCACTATCAAGGGTGAAACCATTATTTACCAGACTGCTAAATCCAGATTAGTTATAGCCATGTAGTTTGAAGCACCTGGAGCCCTCAGACACAGCAGTGAATAAAACCAAGACTGCTCCTGATCTGGCAGCAAGGCACCGACTTGTGCCTCATCGATCCCATGTTACCAAGCTGACACGCTGCCTGCCACAGGGGGAACCTGCCTGCCTTTCCCCAAGCTGTGGGGATTTCCAAATATCATAGAACACAGAATGGTTTGGGTTGGAAAGGACCTTAAAATCATGTCGCTCCAACCCACTGACATGGGCAGGGACACCTCACACTAGCTCTGTCCGACTTGGCTTTGAACACTCAACTTCCTCCTCACCAATCCGAGGAGAGCACGGCAGGGTGTGGGAAGCACGAGAGGACATGCAACAACTGTCCAAACGATATCTGGCACACACCAAAAAGACATGGGGAAGTTTTGCTCCAGTGGGGTTCCTTTCTTTTGGGCCAGGGACACTCTTGTAGGCAAAGCATGGCTGAGAACTGGCCAAAATAGCAGGTAGAAAAGGTGTGGGAACAACCCCACTCCCAGTCAGCAGGAACATAATATATTTTGTGGTTTTGGGGGGCGATTGCTTTTCTTCCTCAACTCTGCAAGCTACACATTCCCCCCTGCAGAAAGGGGCATGTGTTCCCCTTATCAGGACAGCACAGATCATCAGCACAACTCACCTCAGTTATTCCAGGCATAGCTTAGAAGTCTGCCTCTGCAAAAAAGAAGGGCAGAGCATTAGGCTTTGAGGTAGAGCACCCTGTGTCCCCTGTCACCACAAGCCCACAGTGCAGAAACCAGAGAGCTGCTGCTTCTTATCTGTGTGCTGGCTGTCAGGCTGGGCCACCACCACCAGTCCCCACCGCTATATCCTTCCTTACAGTCACCAAATATAAAACCAAAACTTGCTGCACAACCCACCTTTTTCCAGGCAAATTCACCCAGAAAGAGGTTAGAGTGCTCTGCTAAGGCTGTTGTACCAAATACCTAGAGATAATACCAAGGCTTCTCCATCTGCTACTAAGGAATTCTTCCCTGGGTACGTGTACACCACCCTTTGAGCAGCACAGATGAAAACAAGTTTGTTTTTCATCAACAGCACAAGACCTTCAATACCCCATTACAGCACTGTTCCCCCGTGGTTATAAATTAACAAGCTCTGGCTCCTGCACACAAACGATGGCAAAGCTTGAGAAGGAAGGCACACCATACCCCACTGGAAATCCTGTGGCTCCCTGAAGGTAGAATGGGCCACCCTGCAAAGGTAGATGTCACCCTTCTGGGGGGTGAAGGGTGCATACACCAGGCGCTGGAAGTGCCACTTGTCATCGAAGGACAAGTCTGTGTACTTCACGTTGTTCATGGGCTTCCCATTTTTGAGGAGGGAGATTTCAATCTTCGGAGGGTGGAAACCGCTCACAAAACAGTTGAGGGTGTTTTCTTTTCCCATAGTGACAAGATCACGGGAGTACACATCCACTTTTGGTGCCTCTGGAGGAGAGAAAGGGGGCAGTGAAAAGCAGGACTGCAGCACGCACCACCAAGGAGAACCACAGAGTGGTTTGGGTTGGAAGGGACCTCAAAGCTCATCCAGTCCAACCCCTGCCACGGGCAGGGACCCCTTCCACTATAGCAGCTTGCTCCAAGCCCCTGTGTCCAACCTGGCCTTGAACACTGCCAGGAATGGGGCAGCCACAGCTTCTCTGGGCACCCTGTGCCAGCGCCTCAGCACCCTCACAGGGAAGAGCTTCTGCCTAAGAGCTCATCTCAGTCTCCCCTCTGCCCGCTTAGAGAAGCTCCTGCCCGCCCGCGGTAATCGGTACCGTGCCCCTCACCCAGCCCCAGGCACTCACCGTCCGCCTCCCCCAGCGCGACCAAGACCAGGAGCACGATCAGGATCAGACCCCGCATGGCTCCGGGCAGCCCCATGGGCACGGCTCTGCGCAGTTCCCAGCGCTTCTCGCTCCCCGCCTTTTAGAGAGCCGCGGCCCGAGCGTCACCAGTCCCTAGGCAGACCGGCAGAGGAGAGGTTCTGCAAGCCACCGCGCCTGCGCACTGCGGCCATCGCCGCTTTCGCTTTCACTTTCGCTTTCACTTACTTTCGCTTCCGCCCAGGGGCCTGCCCCTGCCTCGGGGATGAAGGCTTCGAGGACGATGGGGGCACCGAGCACCAGCCGAGCCCGGGCGCGGAGCTGGGCACCTGCGGTCAGGAGCACCCCCGGGAGCCAGCCAAGGCACTGGGAGGTGCGCACCCAGCTCCTGCCCCTCACCACACGGGGGTAAAACCACCTCGTGCAGATGTTGCAGCCAGGGCTGGTATCGCATCGACAGCCCGCACCGGCAGAGCCCGGCCGTCTTCCCTTCTCAACCCGGGTTTGTTCTCTTTACCTGTGCGGGAGCTGTTGTCCAGCAGCTGCAGGATGGCAGATGAACTCTGTCAATCACAACATGGTACCAAACACAAGGACCCAAAGGGCAAAGAACCGGGTTTTCTGCTGCCTCCTCCAGAAGCCTAGGAACGCCTCCAGGTGGCCCTGCAACACTGCTCGGAGGACAGTAGTAGAGCAACATCAAGAAAATAAGGCCAAAACAGTGAAATGAGCCAGTATTAAATGGCACGTAGGTATTTTATACACCTAGAAGCTTGTCTGCTTGTGGTCCTACGGGTCACAGGTTATGTTTAGAGTTGCTGTTTCAAAATGGCAAGCAGATCCATGTATCTTGTCTCCTGCCTTGCTGCATAAGTATTAAAAATATTAAAAAAAAAAAGAGAGAATGGAAAATCTCAACGACTGGGGAGAAAACAGCAATATCAGGGCATTCCCCAAGTTAAATCGATAAAGCATGCAGGGAGAACATCCCCCACCCAAAGACAGAAGGTAAATCAGTAGAGACAAAACCTGCAAAGGCTCGTTATCAGTCCCCACCAGACCAGGTGAGCTCTTGCTGGGTTTGCTGGCTCTCTGACAAGCAACGCTGGCAGCCTCACAACTGCCATTGAGTGTTTTCAGTGCGGGATAAGGCGATGCAGCTGCCACCAGAGCTTCATCAGGGATCTCGGGGCTCTGGCAGAAATAAGCCCCAGCAGCTGTGTTGAGAGCTGAGCTGAAACGGGGCTCCCTAACACGGACCCACAGGCCAGTCTGATCTGCTCAGGTGAGCCATCCCCTTGGCTCAGGGAGGGGTAATTACAAAAGACTGCAGGACATATATCCTTCCTCTGCACTGACACCCCTTTGGGATGGGAACCCCTGGAGATGCTGGGACCAGCAACACCCAGCAGACTTTCCCTGTGAAAAGAAGCTGAACCATCGGTTTCTTCCAAGTGATGTTTCTAAAAGGCCATGCTGGTTTTGTCAGAACAGCCAAATGTTCCTCTTTTAAGGCTATTTAGACATAAATATTTAAGCAGTAGGTGAGGCCTGACAACCAAGGCTTACAGGATCTTCACCTTTGTTTTGCTCCCCTGCTGCTATAGATCTCCAAGTCACGCCTTCCACCAGACCGGCCTCATCGCTCCGGTTTTGAACGGCCGTTCCACCACAGGGAGAGACGGCCGCAGTGGAAGGAGCCGGCCTGGGCCGTCGCCCATCCCGTTAGAGGCCGGTGTTCGCAGGTTACTCCCCGGTTCTCAGGCGGGACCCTCACCGCACCCCAGCGCGTCGCGCCGGCGACGGGCCCAGCTGGGAGGGCGGGGATGAACCGAGGGAGGCGTGGCCTAGTCGAGGGGGGCGTGGCGAGAAGAGTGCGCAGGCGCGGGACACAGGTGTGCGCCGCCATGCTGTACAGCAGGTGCAGGCGAGGTGCCGCTCTCCTCCCTAAAAGGCGGTGGCGAGGGCAGCCCGGCCTCGTAGAGGCATGGCGGAGGGCGGCGAGCCGGTTGTGAGTGCCCGCCCCGCTCCGCCGGGCGCGATGCTCCGTCCCCGGGCCGCTTCCCTTCCCTTCCCGCTCCCCTGGGTCACGCCCTCTCGGGTGCCGCGTCCCCCGGGGCCGGCTTTCCCCGGAGTGGTCGGTGCTGGTGGGGTGCCCTTCCCTTCCCTGTGCCCGGGTGCTGTTCGTGCCCCGGTAGGAGGGTGTTCACTCTGGAGCCTAATGGTGTCCTTCAGCACTAAAGCACTGGTGCTGTTCCATGGTGGCATCCCCTGTGGTGGTGGTGTCACCTCCGGGCAGCAGCAGCCCTGGTCCTGACAGGCTTCAGTAGGCTCCTACCCTGTGCCGAGCCTTCTCTGGTAGTGCAGTGTCTCCCGCTCTTTCCCTGTCCAGCTTCAGGGCTGCCGTGAGCCCTGGGGTCTGCCTGGCCCCCCCGTGGGGTGAGGGGTGAGGTTGGGTGCCTCCCACTTTGGGAGCACATTAGGGTTACCTCTCCCTTAGCAGAGATACTGCTGCTTTCAACTGCAGATCATTGAGGACTACCTGCTGGTGGAAGATGCACCTCTGCTGGAGGAGATGGCTGAGGAGGATGAAGAGCTTGACCTGTACAATGAAATGACTTTTGGGATAGGTAAGATCCCGGGGTGCCCTAGTGGTAGGGAGACCAGGCAGCACCCAATGAGGTGAGGAAGATGGAGGTGGTGGGGTGAAGAAGGTTCCTGCCTGTCTGGGAGCAGGGACCGTAGTGGGCACTGCCTAGGCTCTCACCCACCCTGATGTGCTCTGCTTATCCTCTCCAAGACGGAGACTCTACTGAAGAGGATGCCTCAAAACTCCCAATGCCTCCAGAGATAAGCCCTGAGCTGGCCAAAGCAGTGGCAGAGGAGAAACTGGGACCTGAAGCAACTGGGCAGCTGGAGGAGCTGGAAGAGCCCCAGGAGGAAGGTGGGGTGGAGCTGGAGATGGAACAGGTTGGCTCCGAGTTGGAGGAGCAGGAAGAGCTGGACACTGAGGATCAGGAGGAAGACCAGGAGCCCTGCGAGGAGCCCAGTGACCTGGGAGACCCAGCAGTGATGACAGTTGTGCCGAGCAAACCCACGCTGGAGGTGATGCATGAATGGAGAGGGAGGGGACTCACTGCTCCCCTTCCATCCCCACATGTGGGGGTCCTGCCCCACAGAGGGCACTGAGGGTAGCTTGGTCTGTGTCCAAGGGAAGAAACCCACCAGGGCTGAGCACAGGTTGACTTCTTTGCTTGCAGAGCCAGGACTCGGCGGTGCTGGACAGCAGGATTGGTGCTTGCTGGGCAGACTTTGGCAAAGAGGATGTGGTAAAAATGTCCCCTCCTATCCCGTGATGAGGCTGCTCCTCTCCTGTGTCCTCCTCCCCTGTGCTGACCATCTCCCTGTCTTTCAGCTGGCCATGGATCCCAAAGTGTGGGGCTCCCACCCTGGCAGTGTCCCCCCTCCTAACATGCTGGAGGTGGGTACCTTGGGGAGCAGCTGAGGACCCCCTGGCACCCTGGGCTGAGGGTCATGCAGGCACTTTGGGGTGATCAGGGGACCTCTAAAGTCTTCTTGTCAGACTGGAGGTGCACAGATGTGTCTCTTGGGTGCTAAGGCTGTGGGCAGAAGTGACCACCTGAAGCAGAACCTGGCTTGGAGACTAAAGGTGTTGAGTTTGGGTGTCCCTGGTGTTGCAGGCTGCCAGGTTTGGAGCCTGGCTGGTGCATGGTCTGGTGTTGGGAGTGCTAAACTCATCCCAGCTGGGCCCCGTTCCCACCTCCTGCTGCCTCCTCCCTGCAGGATAAAGCCATTGTCCAGGTCCTGGAGATGCCCCCACCATCCGGCAATGTGGCTCTTGACTTCCTCGGCTCCCCAGTGCAGAGGGGCTATGGGGGCTCTCAGCAGCTCAAGCGCTCTGATATAAGGCTGGTGTCCCCCAAGTCCTTCCCACAGCGGTTTCTCCAACAGGTAACGGGTTTGGGGGACTCTTGCACCCCCCTTTCTCTACCCTCCCCTCCCCAGAAGTGCAGCCTTGAGGACAGGCTTGTCCCAGTGATCCCTCCTGTCTCCTGCCCTGCAGCAGTCGCCTCTGGTGCCTCGCTCCCAGCGCTCCCCTCGGCCCTTTGTGCCGCCTCGAAGATCCCCTCTGCTCTTCACTTCCAACCAGGTGATGCAGTGGCCTCTGAGCCCCTGTGTGTCCCCTCTGAGGTGGCCCTGGAGCAGCAAGAGGTTGGGGCAGGGTCTCCAAAGCTCTGCCATCCACAGCAGGCTTTGCAGCTCCTGGGCACCTATCTCTGGTGTCTGGATAGTTGGGAAGGTGGAGCTGCTGGTGTAGTCATTGCTTCACAAATCTATTTGCCCTGATGTCCCCACAGGACCCGCACTGGGCATGGTGGTGCACTTGGTGTCATGCTGCAGCACTGGTGATGGACCTGGGGCATACAATCCCCAGTGACAGATGGGTCCCCTCACCTTGCTCACTGTAGTGGTAGCATTCTGGTGCAGGTATCACCTTGCCATGGTGCCCCATGCGTCCCCTCTGTGCAGGGAGAGGATGGACCCTGCATGACAGGGAGCCAGAAGCTAGCATGGACCCCCCACACCTCTCCAGGGCCCTTAGAGGAGAAGGCTCAGTAATCTGGTCAATTCTCTTTCCCTTTCCAGACCACAGGGTACACAGCTGCAGCCCCTTTCCAGCCTATGTCACCCAACATCAGCCACCCACCACGGCCTCTTGCCATGCACTTTGGTCCCATGTCTCCCTCTTTGGACCCTGCTCTCTTCTTCAGTCCATCAGCCAGTGGCCAGCTGAACCTCAGGTAATGGGGTAATGTGTGGGGTGTTTGGATTCGACTGCAGGAGACCCCCAGCACAGCTGGGGATGTTCTCCCTCTCTGGGCTGAGCCCCTGACCCCCGGCTGGTCTCCCCTGCAGTGTGCCCAACCGTCTGACCCAGCTGCACCCACAGCACCAGCGCATCCTGACCCAGCGGCAGCAGCAGAGGTGAGGGTGTCCCTGGGGACCTGTGTGGTGGTGGTGGGGGGGGTGGCTCTGGGTGGTCACAGCAGGCTGTGGACTTCCCTGTGCTAGCATCTCCTCCAAGAAGCTGTGGTCTCCTAAAGTGGACTCTAATGCTGGGCTGATGACCTCCAAGGAGAAGGACTGGGTCATCAAGGTGGAGATGATCCAGCTGCAGAGCGAGAACATGGATGATGATTACTACTACCAGGTGAGCTCCTGCTGGCAGCACCGGTGGCTTATTCTCCTGGGGGCTGGGGTGTCATCTCTTTGGGGAGTGCCAGAGCTTGTGGTGCCGCCCCTCCAGGCTACGCCTGTTGTTACAGATGTACTACCACCGCCTGGAGCACCGGCAGGCGGAGGAGGAGCTGCTCGGGGGCCGCAACCGGCAGGAGCCGCCGAAGCTGGTCACGCCGTTCATCCAGAAGGTGGAGACCTACAACTCCGGTGAGGGGCTGCGGGAGCCGTGGGAGCCCGGCGAGGGGCTGTGCGCCGTGGTCTCACCGTGTCCCCTTGCTTCCAGTGGTGCGCATCGCGGGCTCGCTGGGCCAGGTCGCTGTGTCCACCTGCTACAGCCCGCGCCGGGCCATCGACGCGGTGCACCATGCCCTGGTGGAGGAGGTAGGTGAGGGGAGGCCAGTCTGGTGGCTGCTCTGGATGCCGCCCTGAGCTTTCCCTGGGCCCTGGAGCAGCTTTAGCAGGAGCTTTAGGAGCTGCTGTGGCCAAGCCTGGGTGCTGCCCCACACTGTGGAATGGGGCATATGGGTGGAGCAGTGGTGGCAGCTTGTCGCCATCAACAGGGGTGGGATGGGGCTCCGGGCAGCCAGAGCTGGCTGTGGCCTCCCTGTGGGATTGATTGCCCCATGTCCTGAAGCTGCCTCCGATTCCCAGGGAGCAGCTGGCCCCATGCTCTGCTGGCAGCAGTGTCCGGTGCTGGCTGTAACTGTTGTGCCTTCCTTTTTCCCCTCCTGAAGGCTACGGGGAGCCACCGTCTTCGGGCACTGCACAAGATCGAGAAGGTGAGTGAGCCACGAGTGGAGCAGACTCTGTTCTCATCCACCAAACAGCTCTGCGAGGGGATGTCTACCTGGCAGAGGTCCCAGTTGTGAGAAGATGCTCTGAGCTGCCCCCTTTACCCTGTACCATTCTTCTAGCTCTTCCTGCAGCTGCTGGAAGTGGAGGAGATGCAGCGGAAGATGTCTCTGGCTGCGGAGGAGCAGGAGCAGAAGAGCCAAGAAGCAGAGCGTATCTACCAAGCCTTGAAAATCAGGGCTTGCAGCAGTGAGGAGTGAGTTTGTGCTTTGGAAAGAGGGCACCATGTCCTGGCCCTCGCTGGGCTCAGATGGTCAAGGATGAGTAGTTCTGGGTGATGGGAAAGGTTGGAACTTGACCTCTGTGTGTCACTGTGGCCTGTGCTGACCATTCCTATGAGCTTCATCCTCTATTGGAGCTGATGCTGGTCCTTCTGGATAGACAGAGATGCTATGGGTCCCTTGGGATCTGTGCCAATGGAGCCTTCATCCCCAGGGAGGCAGAGGATGAATTTCTACAACTCCTGTGTGTGCAGAAGGGCAAGAAGCTCATGGCCCGGCTCCTGCCCCACCTGAGCCCGGAGCAAGCAGAGAAGATCCTGTTAACCATCACCCACCACCTGCCCTTCCTCATAAAGAAGGATGTGTTGGACGAGGCAAGCACCTCCAGCAGGGCTGGGGCATCCCAGGCTGTCTCCTTCCTGTCTACTCCTGCTGCAGGGGCACCCTGGGCAGTAGGGAGCACATCTTGCTGGGTTCCAGCATGGCCAGGCAGCTGGCAGGGTTGACATGAGATGGGAACTACCTTCCTTCCCTGTGGAGGAGAAGGGTCTCTAAGAATGGGGTAAAGCAGTGG